CGCACGGGGCTCTGCCACTTGCCTGGCCCACCAAACTTAAGAGGGGCGCACACAAGGGCCCGGGAGCGTTTCTCAAATCCAGTTTTTTCCACGAGAGAAACGTGGATCTGCGCAGCACCAGTCTCATGTGCTCTGGATAACGACATCTGCCCAAGAAAGCCACAAAAAAACAAAAACACACCAAACAACCAACCCCCTGGAAGAAAAGACCAGCATCTCCAAGGTCTTGTTCTGGGGATTGGTTTTGTTTATTAGTTGGTTTTGTTTTTGTTTTTGTGATTTCCTCGAGGTTTTGTTTTTTGGCGTTTCTGCATCTGCGCTCCAGCTTCTGAGTAGCAAAGTAAGCCCAAAACCATTCTCCGTCGTCCCTTTATTCCCGATGGTCATTGAGGCAGAGAATATGACCTTTGAAGAGTTGCGGGACTTGTGCGATGGCATGGTCTGTCGCAATGTCCTATCTCCTATCACGTTGGGAGAGCAGCCCGTTGGCTCCTTCAACTTCCCTGCTCAAGAGTTGACTGGCGCAGACAACCCAATGGTCCATTTCTTTGATGTGATCTTCCATCACCGGGATGTGATCAACTTCGAGAACTTGGAGCGGGACTACAAGAAGGTAAACAAGGAGGTGAATATGCAGATGGTCATCATGAAGGGCGCGGATGAGTCCTATATCATCTTCAAGCACTTTTACCTCGCCCAGAAGTGTAAGTACCTCTGGACGCAAGATCTTGCAGCACTGCTTCGAAAATATCTGTGGCCGCCATTTCAAGTTCTCGGAGCTTGCCAGTCAAGCCATCAACAAGACCAAGACAAGCAGCGCGTTCGGACGAGGAGGTGAATGCGGCTTTGATTACATCATGCACGGCCCGCCACGCTCGTCAGAGATGCAGCAGCTCCGTTGGATGACGAAAGAGCTGCGGAGGAAAAGCTCGCCCTTGAGCGGATGACCGCAGTCCTTGGTGGACAGGGCTTTGTAGAACTTGAGCACAGATGGAGCCTTGGCCAGGAAGGAGTTTCAATGGTCGATCCCGCTTACCCAAAATACTACCAGCCCTGGCTCCTGGAGATTTTGGAGAAGATTTGGGACTTCGACTTGTCCGCCTTCATGATGTTGGGCGAGGCTGGAGCTGGCAAGAGCCCGCTTGGCAGAAGGGTCCGCATGGCGCAAGTCAGGCACAATCCGTCACGGTTCAACTTGACTGGCAGCCCTTGCCTCCGGCGCACCCCTGACATTGACTTTCTCAGGGGTGAGCAAGGTTCTGTGTTGGTGGGTGGCTTCTTGGATGACGCCTCCCTCCAGTTGCTCCCAGTCAAGACCATCAAGGCCTTCCTCGATGTGGGGCTCTACGAGAGCATGTGTTGGGCAAGGTGGGGGGCGACCAAGTGGGTTCAGAACGAGGCCCGCACCGTGGCTGACAATACGTACGACGAAGGGGTCAGCCTTGAGACGTTCTTCAAACTTGTCCGGCCGAGCATCGTGGAAAGCGCCACCCTGGCCCACATGGCGATTTTGAACCTGCGCACCGTGTGTGGGAGGTCAACGCTGAGTACTTGACGGACGAGGGCAAGCACGTTTACGGGCTCTACAAGGCGAGTGACAAAGAGGTTAGCGACAGCTTCGCTGTTGGTGTCAGAGAGCAGTTCTCGGAAACGGCCAAGGATGGCGCGCTTGAGCAAGAACTTGCTATTCGTGCGCAGATTCGTCGCCATGTCTTTGGTGACCGTCCTGCCCCTGAGGTTTCCATACCTACTCAGATGATCAACGACAAGAAGCGCTCTGTGAACGTCGTCGCGGTCAAGAAGGAAAACTTTGAGGCAGAGAAGGCAGAAACTTGGAAGAGAGCTAAGTTGCAGGCCGGCACGTCGGTCCTCGATTTGGACTCTTCCCCTGAGAAGACTTCCCCAGTGGCCTTGCCACCCACTGTGGCAGCTCAGCCAGTCTCTGCCAGAGCAGGACTTGGTTCTTTTGCCCTGTCTTGGAGCCAAGCCTGCTCAGCCCATTGGGCGCCACACTCAAGCTGATGCGTCCTCATAGTCAGCTTCTCCCAGGCAAGTTCATCATCTTGGGCCTCGCGGAGTCCCACTTCTTCTCCATCTCGAATCACGAGGGCAAGGTGCACAAGCTTGACGGTGCTGTCACAGAAGCTCTTACTGCAGAATCATTGCAGGCCATCAGTAGCAGCCCAAGATACCATGTCTTCCGCTTGACCCGCATGCAGACCCATGTCTTCCGGCTGACCCACGCGCAGGCCGCGCCTGCGATCACGGAGCACCAGGCTTACCACGTTCTCGGGGGCGCCTTGTCCAAGCCAAAGTATGTCACCCACGTGAAGAAATGTCAATCCTTCGCCTGTCGGAAGACCTACGGTCCAAACTTCTTCACTGAGTGCGGAGAGAAGATCAACACCGCCAGCCCTGACGACTTGCAGGACGCCCTGTTCGTGAGCGTGAAGAAGGGTTTCACCTGTGACTACTTGCGCTACCACTCACAGATGGAGCTCCGTGCTTTCGTCTCATCGCGAGCAGTTCGCGATGTATATGGGGCCGTCTTTGGCTTTGAGGGTGGTGATCGCTTTCGCAGGCTTCGAGAGCTCCACGCTGATGCTGTGATGTATTGGATGGGCTTGCAATTGGCACGCAAGATGCCATCTCCAGTGGGAACGAGCTTACCGACAACGCTCTGAGGGCCTATGACCAGCATTTGCACCACAACGTCTCCCCCCCTCGCACCAGAACTTCGGTGACTGAGCTGGTTGCAGATGGTCATGCCAAGTTCGGAGACCACTCACCAAGGGAAGCCCCACGGCAACGGCAAGCAGAAGCCCTATGGCCACGGCTGGTTCATGATTGTGAACCCGAAAAACCTCCGGATTGTCTCCGTGTCCTGCGTGCGCAAGCCGGCAACGAGGTCGCCAAGTCTGCGCTGCTAAACATCCTGCCCATCTACAAAAAAGTGAACTGCTTTGTCCTCCATCGCAACTGCGCTCTCCTTCCCCGGGCTAGCCGTAACCCTGCCTTCAAGCAGATCAAGTACTGGGCGATCGACAAGTTCCACGCGCAGGGCCACAAGAAGACATGCCGCTGCAACCCGCTCCACACGCCCCGCATCGCCCCGCTTGGCAAAACGGGTGAATAACGTCAACACCTCGGCCGCCGAGCAAGTCTTCGCCTGGTTCCCGTAACTACGCGAGGTTGCTCAACGAGGCAACGCCCAAGCGTCACACCTTCAAGGTCCTGTACTTCGCAAAGCTTCACAACCAAGCGGCTGCATCCAAGAACGCTGGCTACCTCAACAAGTATGTCCAGAAGAAGCACAAGCGCACGGCAAAGCCCTATACCTGCAACATCCGCAAGAAGCCTTCGTCCTCCAAGTGAAACACTGGTTTAGCAGGTATGCCTGGGTCTTTTACATAGTTACACACATTGACAGACCCCATGTCTACTTCAAGCATTTGGTGTTCTGATTCATATTGCGCTACCTGTTTGCATTTTCCTTTTCGCTGGCCTGTCATAATTTTGGCTGTAGACGTGTCGATCGCAACTTGCCGGTTGAAAAAAAATGCGTGTTGCAAAACACTGGCCTCGCAAACTACAATCACCCATTCAAGGTATAAAATAATGAATTTGAGAAACACAGGCCCCACGGCGGGCCGCTCTCCAGCAGAAAGGCTGAACACCTTCTTCAAGTTGACAAAAGGGGCCGGCCCTCTTCATTTGCTGATAAGGATGTTCTGAGTGGGGTCATGACTAGGACCCAACGGCAAAGTGAAGCCAAACGGCACTCGATGCAGCTCAGCTTAGACTGAGCATGGCATCAACTTGCGGGGGATGCACCTGAGCAGATGGCCGCTCAAAGCCAAACACAGTCTCATCTTCCAGAAATATCTTCCGAGTCCTCGACCCATTCCTTCAAATCCTTAAAAAGCCTACACATGCTTGATTGTGGCAGGCAACGTGGCAACTCCGAAAAGCAAAGCAAGCAGTAGACAAAGGCTATCCAGGAGACTCCATTTTTGCTGCAAATGAGGTATATAGTGAGTAGCAAATCGGGTGGCAAGTCAGAAGAGCTCTCCCAAATAACCCCTGCCCCCACCCTGAAATAATAAAGGGCTATAATGTTTTCCCGGTGGGACAAAATGAGAAAAACATGATCCTAAGCCAGTACTAAATTTATTACCATCAATACTACACCAATACTAACTAATGCTAAACCAACACCAAGCCCATCCTGAGCCAGCAAAATCAACTGAGGGCCCAACACACTAAAACCGTGAAGCGGGTGGAACAGGGAAGCCTCGGATTCTAAAAACATGCATAAGGGGAGGAGATAGAGAAAAGAAAAGTACCTGGGCCGTTGCCCCCCCCTTGAAATTTGCGTGCGTGGCGGCTTCTAGTAAAAGGTGTCGTAAAGAATTTAGCAGCTTGGGTCCTCACTTGGTCTGTTGGCTATTGGTTCAGTAGGAGTCCTCGTTAGCATTAATTGGCGTAGTTGCAATTGAAAGAAACTTACTTATGTTTGGCGGTGAGGGTAGGGGGCCTTACCTAATTCTCCCCGACATTTCGCTGAACAGGCCCACTGCTCAAGCCCAGGTACACACACACGTAGGAGCCTGTCCCCGAACCTTTGTCCGCAAAGACAAAAAGTACAATAACACAGATTAAAGACAAAATCCAAAACAAACACATCAGAGGTTCCTCTGTCACCTCTCCCACCCCCAACATGGCCTCAATACTTGGGCGGCCGGATTGGAGGCGGTGGTTCTCCAGCACATGCGATTGCGCTCCCGGCGTGACGCCTTAGTTAAGTGGCGGCGCTTGCACAAGCAGAGAGGTTATACAAGGGTTGGAGCTTCCTGTCAGAAGGAGGCCAGTGAATGAGAAGTGATGAGAAGTCCCTTGCACAAAACAACTATTGCCACTGTATGTTTTGGCCTCGTTCGGGTGTCGCTTGCCGACAGTTCTGCAAAAGGATGCTGCCTGCCTTCTTTGTTGTAGCTGTTGTTGGCCTCGCGGCATGTTTTTTGTTTGTGGGTATTAGTGGGTGCTTCCTTCAGGAAACGCCCGCCTGGTTAGATGACTTTGAAAAGAAACATTCACCCTAGAACTAGATGCTTCACATGCCATCACACTCAGCCTTCCGCGGGTGATTTCATTTTGTCCCGAAGGATGCTGGGACTTATATTGGCTTTCCCTCCGCCACCTCGAATTCTTGTCATTCTACAGAAGGGAATGGATGAAGCTGCAGTCTGGCCGCAAAATACGTTATCCACCATTTTGATTGGGCAACTGAAGCGTTCAATTGCAGAAGCTCGAGGCAGTGTGGGATAAACTCCCAGCCAAGTCTCTCATCAGCACGTCGAGCCTCAGACAGCCAGCCATGGAGTTGATAACGTAGCTGTTCCCTCAACCAAACAACAAGCTGACCTGACCAGCTTGAAATGCAGGATTTGTGTGCCGCTCCCTCTGTCGCAAGCAAGCATCTTCTCCTCCAGGACCAGCATCCTGCCAGCAATGCCCAAGAAAGGGGAAATCAAAGAACCGGGGGAAGTGCAAGCCCTTTGACATGCATTGAAGGAGCATGCAACGGACTCCATTCACATACGAAGCATGACAAAATGCCTTGATTTGATCAACTACCTTCCCTACCCTCTTGGTCTGGATTAAAAAAATCATCACCACCATTCACACCCTGCGGAGACGGGCCGCAGTCGCGCCACTCACATTCTGGTTCCTAGCCCTGGCGCACGAACATAGGAAGCGGAGCTCGCTGAACAGGCTACGCAAACAAGTTGTGGTGCTTCCTGACATGCCTACGCACATGTGGCTACGATTTTTTAAAGGGTCTGTTTTGGGCGACGCGCCACGAATCTTGTTACGGAGGTCTGTAACTGAGGTCAGCTCCCGCTTGGAAGTCGCAACTCTTCAGTACAAACGCAGTACGCAAAGCTTTTGCTTGAAATTTGCAACTGCCGACAAAGCCAAGCGATGGCAAAAAGGGTGGTCACTGGCCCGGGCTGGGGCTGGGTTTGTAACGAGGTATGGAACGGCCGTGTAGCGAGCAGCTTGGTTGCAGCTATTCAACGCGGGCAGCAAAAAGGGGGGGCACGGGCCCGGGCTGGGGTTGGGTCTGTGTGTAAAAGCTACGTAGCGAGGTATGTAACGAGGCAAAGCAAACGCAGTTCGCAAAGCGCGCCTCCGCAGCTCCAGCTTGATTGAATAGCTCGGCAAAAAGGGGGTCGCTGGCACGGGCTGGGGTTGGGCCTGTAACGCGGTATGCGGTATGCAGCGGCTATGCATCGAGGTCTGTAACGAGGTCTCGCGACCCGTTCCAACTTTTGATCTGAATGGCAAGCTCTCTGCAAGTTGACTCTTCAGCAAAAGCATGATCTGCAAAAGTCTGCTCTGCAGGCACCATGGGAATGACTGAGAGTCTGTGCATGAATTGGGGTATGTAACGAGGGGCATGCAACCAGCCAAGCGGTTTGTTCATCTGAGGTGTGCTACGAGGGTGTGTAACGAGGGGTGTGTCAGCGGGTTTTGTTACAAAGTCTGTAACGAGGTCTGCAACGAATGTCCGCCGCGGCTCTGTTACAGACCCCTCAAAAAATCACGGCCATTTGACATCAAGGCATGGCAAACCAGAAGCCCGGCCTTCAAAAACGCAAGGCTCTGCCCTATGCACTGCTTTCAGTCGGGCAGTGGCAAACATTCAACAAAGACACCTGCCGCTATTTCTCTTGCGTGACATTGTGGAGTCATCAATTCTGTTTTGAATTCTCTGAACGGTGCCCGCACACTTGGCAGGCTTAAGTATTTACACACACACGTGACGCACGTCATGTATGGCAGCGATCTGGGGCCTGTGAAGAAGTGCCGACTCGGAATCCATCTTGCCTTTCCTCCTCACATGCCGCGGTGTCTGCTCTTTGCCCGGGGAGGAGGAGAAAAAAAAGAGGCAAACGCACAAAGAAAGAAGCCGCAAAGCAAAGGTTCGTGGCGCTTCTTCTTGAACATCGTTGGAAGATGTTGTTTCAATCTTGCCCTGCTGCAGATATCTGAGGAGTCGGCCCTCTATACATGGACTTGGACCTGTAGGACATCGAATGAAGCCTCGAAGATTTCGACGACCTGACAGTGCTGGTGCGGCACTGCCGTGTCCCCCGCCAAAGCTTCTACGTTGGCAGGAGTCTCGCACCAAGAGCCCCGTATACATGATGCCTCGAACTAACCCGTAGAACCATCAGTGCTGACAGGCTTCCCTGGTCGGGCAGACTGAGGAGCCGGCTTGTTGGATACCAGCGAATCTTTCCTGTCCGCGTCCGCTTTCATGCCAGCCCGCCCGGACTTGATCGAGACCGACTTGAGTGGGCTCCTGGCCAATGCGCACACTTTGGCTGACAATCCTCAAATAAACTAAGAGGCTTGGGATAAGCTTGGCATACACCCTTGGGACATGTTGTTCAAGTCGTTCAGTAAAGACCTCCAAGTCCCTCAAAGTTCCAGACCTGCCGCAAGGCTGGATTGCAGTCACAAAAGCTTGCGAAATATCGTAACTGAGCTCCTTGTGCTTGCAGCATCGGATTCGTCGTCCGATGACATTGGAGGCTGCCCATACACCTCGGCAATGCCGCACGCTGAGGCTGAGTGGCCCAGCAGCTGCCCTCAGCACTGTCGGAAACCACAAATCCTGCCGCTTCCAACTCAAGGTTCCAATATCCTTCGAAGAGGCAAGCCAACCAGGGATTCTTGATATAAATCTGCCCATAGACGATTTCCAGGCGGACCTTTACTTAATCATGTTCGTAAAATACGTTTCATGAAGCATCATGGGGGTTGTAACTGCCCTGTGGCGGAACCTGCTCTAAACAAGTCTTCTTCGTACGTAATTGCCCCTCCCCCCCCCGCCGGCCCGACGCTGGCAAACCAAAGCATGTCTGGGCAAGAGGTAATGGCAGCAGGTGTGAAACCAAGACAGCCAAACAGACCAGGAATGTCGAAATGGCAAGTCTAGTCGAGGCAAATAGCAAAGCATACCATGTGGCAAAACAGTCCAGCCTGGGCAGGGCAGGAATCGAACCCTGCCGTTCTTCAAGCAAACTGCATCCGTGGACTTCGGTTTGGTTGGATTCTATTTGTCAGGGCCCCTTTTGTGCCACAATCTTGTCAACCACTCCCAGGATGAGGGCAGCTATGGCCGGAAAGCATAAATACATGGGGGAACAAAGCACACAGCACCACGTGCCAGCATCGTCTAGCTCAGGATCAAAAAAGCGCCCAAAGCAAAGGATGTTGCATGAAACAGGAGCGCGAAAAGAACAAAAGCTCACAGCAAAGCAGAAGGCACGCAGCCATGCAGTGAAGTCAGGTATAAACTTTTGCGAGCAGTCCGCCAGGTCAAGTGGCCTGGAGAAGAGTCTACAAAGCAATGCCCACGCTGCCAAGGTCTCGCAGGGTCGTTAACCTGCCCTGAAGCTTCAAACGGGCGCAACCGTGGCCTCTGGCGGGTTATTCCTAAGCGCCGACATGCTGGGATCAGCGTGTAGAGACAAGGATTGTTGCCCTAAGCAGGACGTTAAGCTGAAGCAAAGCTAGTCGAAACAGGCGATCGGGTTGTCACGCCGCCGAACAGCAGACTGACACGGTCAATGCCAGGCAGCTGTTTCCACAAAGTGCTCGAAGCTGACCTCAGACGTTGCATGACGTAATGCGAGACGTTGAGCTACGAAAGACGGGAACCCTCATCTGTCTGCATGTTGGGTCACCCAGTGACGGCTACCTGGTTGGCGACAATTTATGCGCTCTGGTTGTCTAGTGAACACCCTGGTATTGCATGGCGTGAGTTGTCGGTGCGACATATTTGATGTGTGCAGTCTTTTGGCCCATTCACCAGCAGGTGGAGACGCCTGAGCCGAATCTTTTAGACTGGCTACGGAGCCACATTGTTCTTCGTCCAGCTCGGCCCAAAGGAGCTTTTGGTCCAGCTGGCTGACCTGCACACTGTGCTTGCATGCTTTCCGATCATACAACTCTGCATGCCGATGTCTACATGCAGGCAGATATTCTCAAGCTGGGCCGCGTTTGCGAGCCCCCACCCCCCCTCCACACCCCCTCCACACCGCTCCCACACCGCCGCCGCTACAGGCAGCACGCAAGGATGTGGGGCTCCAGAAAGGAGCCCGCTTTCAACAACTTGCGTCTCATGAGGTATCCGTGAATCTCAGGTGCCTTTTGCAACTTCGGGCTCACACTGGGATGATACCCTGTTCTACTCACAACCTGTCATGGATGATTTCCGTACTGGAGTGCGGGACCGCGCACCTCAGTTCCTGGAATTAGAAGCAATAGGCACATCATTTCTGCCCCGCTCCCATAGCCTTTCCCTGTGCGGACAAACTTATGTGTTGATCTTATGCGCTCCGGCCTGAATTCGAGACAGCAGCACCTGGTACCGCGTCCAGGTGATCAAGCCTGGCAGGCATCAAGGCAGGCCCCCATGTAAAGCCCGCATGAGGCTTGACAGTAGCATGCAATGGCTGACACAACCCGCAAGCCGCCCATGGAGAAGCTACCAACACGTGAGCTTTCATGCCAATTCTCTGATTGGTGTGTACCCGCAGTGTGAGCGAATAGTAAAATGAAACAGGGGTTGGTCTGGACGACAAAGCAATCTCCATTCCCTGACAGTGGGGGACACGAACAATCTCCGACTGGAGCCGCCTGCTGGAGCAAGCCCGTCGTCACCACTACACACAAAATCCTTGGCAACGGCATGCTGCGGGATAGGTGAGGCATATCAATGACCGAACTACATAACCGTACCTGTTGCTATCAGCTGTTGACTGGAAGCCTGAGCAGGCGTGCCGCCATGTAACGCATCCCAACTGTTCCACTCCCCACTGCTACCTGCTGCTTTGAAAATTGCAGCCTCCACTGCTGCCAGCATGCCCAAATACAAGACCGCGTGACCTACTGCAAATGCTGTTGTTTGCACACCAGAGGGGGTTAGCCGTTGAGCCAGTAACCTCTTTGGGCCTCAGACAGTGGAAAAACTTGTCAGGCGAGGCGTGTCCATTCGGACCACGCCTGAGTGACTGCTGTGCTTTGATTGCGGCCGCAGCATCATACAGTTCGTGGCGGTGTGAGTCGTCGGGGTCGAACTCTCTGTTCAGGCGCTGCTTCAGATCCGGCCAGTGAAGGGACGGCTTCAACTTCAGCCTTTGCGCACGTGCAGACTCTTGGCTAAGCGGTCAGCAGGAAAAATGCTGAGGAACCTCTTGGAAACACGTACAGCCTCGCATTTGCAGAATGTTGGCATAAGGTGTGTCATGGCCAACATGTAACAGAAACCTATCTAGCTGAGCGAGACCGGATTGCCTCTGAATGTGACAAGGGCTCAAAGTGCTGGGCACGTGCTAGTGTGGAAAGTGCCAGCGCAGGCTGAGAACTGCAATTCATACCCCTCACAAGGGGCCAGCGGCATGCCGTGTCAATTTTCGTAGAACTGCATGTAACCTTCTGCCTTTTCTGCTGCAACCTGTCGCAGCCTGCGTGGACCCCAAAACAAAGACACGTGTATTACGCTTACATCTTCGGCATCCGTGCATTATCCGGGTCAAGTCCATAGGTTGAAGTGGGCTGGCCAACTACCAAGAAATCCAACGCACCACCACAAAGTTGTCGTTCAGGGCCATATCCAGAGTCCAATCTTGGGTGTGCATTTTCGGAGTAAAATGGTGAAGTCCCATTTTGACCCGCTGTGGCAAAGAAGCACTTGCTCTGCGGTCGGCAGTCGGCACAGCATGCCGCCAGGGCACATGTCTTGGAAGTTCTTGATTAGGCTGCAAATGGACGTCGGGTCTTGCGCCATAAGATTGTCAATTGCACTCCTTAGTGGAGTGACCGGCGTGGCGGGGCAGATTGGTCCCAGGAAAGTAGTGTGCGAAAGCTGAGTGTGCAAGCACAAAGCCACCTAAAATCATCTGTTGAGTTTAACCCATCACTTGCTTGGATTAACGCCTTACTTACTTGAATACAGGGCTGGCCCTCGTGTCAGCAACAAGCTCACCGCTTTCCAAATGGAATGCCTGGTCCAAGTTTCCCTTGCAGCACTGACGTCAGGCAATACACCCGCGCCATAATCCACGCTGTGCGCAACTGACCTGCGCTTTAGCCAATGCAAACGGCCAAGCTCTTGTGCGCTGGGCGAATAGCACAAAACTTGTCCTTTCGTTGGGTGCTGGTAGTTCACAACAGCTCAACAAGCATACCGCATTTGTGGTAAAGCAGTGGGGCCACACGCACCTTGCGCCCTGCATTCAACCAAACACGTGAGCGAGCGGCAAAACTTGAGACTACTTTGGGCGATTTCGAATGGGAAGTTATCGTTTTTTGGGTTTCACTGCAAAATTCCTGAAGATTTCTGACACGCCAAATCACCGAAGACATATCTCTAGATCAGAGATTTTAGCCTCTTGCTCATGTGCTTTTTGCAGGGCCACTTTGAGATCCTGGGTGAGTCCCCGCGCCTGTCAGCAAGGCTATCTCTCCAAAGTGGCTGCCTGGCGCAGTGTGGGGACCCATCGCATGCGGGCTGTCCAGTAGAGCGTGCGGCCAGCTTGGAGTGTGCCATGGGAGCAGCCCACTTTAAAGGCTCGCCATGGCTCGCCCAAAGAACAAAATGAGAACAAAATGAGAAACATTAGAGTCTATCATTATAGAGCTCGCTTGAGTCAACACCAATACCATTGTAGCCAAACAAACAAGCCGCTGAAGTTCAAGGAATGGAGGGGCCACTCCGCTTCTGGCGGCTTTACCTTGGGCCTGGCGGATGCTAACCAAAGACGACTCAGCACGCCGGCAACGTGAAAGGCAGGTGAGAGCGCCCAAGGACAGAGAGGCGATCTAGCAAGCCACGCCCAGGCCAACGGGCAATTGCTCTGACAGAACCACCTCTTGGGAAGCACCCTCTGACAATTGAGTTGTTCAGCCTTTCTCCACTTTCTTGATCTCTTCGTCCTCCCAATGTGGAGCTTTGGTGCCTGGGCGCTAGTCACATGAGTTTCGTCCCCTCATGGCCAGCACCCAATTCCACAACAGCTGCCCGCCCTGAGCTATTGGGATCGCTTTGACTCCCTGGGGAATGTGCAATGCTATGGTCAATGGGTGGCAACCTAGTAACCTCAAAGGGCTCAAGCCTGAGAGACAACATCAGAAGCACAGGCCGTCCCAGTTTGGTTGCCAGGGGCCACTCTGCAATGAAATGCCGGCCAAGAGGCAGGTGAACACACCCGCAAAGCCTTCACGCAGAAAAAACATCTCGTTGCCAATGTCGCCGCGACAAATGATGAAGTCTGCCGGCAAGAAGACTTGGTCCTGGGGCTTGGTCCTTTTGTGCCGGCTACGCCACTCGGTGCCCCTGGTGCCTTCTGAAGCTGTTGGGCCTAAAAGTTTTCAACAATGAAGCGCGCCTGCTGAAGGTCACCAGGGTCACCAGTTCGGGAAAGCTCAACTTTGCTTGACATTCAAGGGGCTGGCGTGTCTTCTCAAAGGTGCGTTCAAGTTCAAACATTTGGCCCACTGGGATTCAACAAGATGGCCGCTTGGCATGTAAAGTCGGGCAGGTCTCCGCCCACAGAAAAGCACACGCTCTTCAGCCAAGACATGGTCATCACCTTTTATTGATCGTTCTTCGTTTGCCAGAAGCCCTGCAGCAATTTGGGCCATGGGCATGTTCGCTTTGCACACATGTGAGGATTGCCCTGATGAGCCCCTTCCTGTTGTTCCGAAAATTCCGCACCTTTTCGGACACACGCCTGGAGCCGGCCGATGAGGAACCGCAATGCCCGCGCGTCCACCATCTGCAAGAAGGGCACCTGGATCACCAAGCCTCGATGCCGGGATTCAGGTGCATGTTCGACGTTTGCTTGCCATTCCCACGCACCAGCATCGCGCCACTAACTTCCAGCAAGTGGTTCCGGGTCAAGAACAAATGGTGGCATGGATCCGATACTTGAAGCGCACTGCTGTTGCACGAATCCTTTGCAAACACCATGCCAAGGGGCGCGCCAGCCCGATCACCAAGCTGTAACTCTGGTTCAGGTGGCTTCACCAAGTAAAACTGTACATGAACATCTGCAAAGCCGCAAATATCAACATGTCTCTGGAAAGAATATGGGCCCAAATGCCCCAACATGCTTGGCATGTAGATATGGTATCGTGTATATACATATATATATATATAGGCATAACGTTTTGTGCATGGGTAAATACATTGATATCTATATTGTATTATGTATATACACACATCTTCTTGTTTCCCTCATTAATCGGCTCGGCTTTTGGTTGTCCTTTTCTCCATCGGGCTTGCTGCTAAAAAAAACCAAACGCGGCTCCCCCAATCTTTGGACACATCCGGAGTGACTCTTGTAAACTCTTGCAGCTCAGCAACGTGAGTAGAGCACCTAAGATTAGCCAATGGCACGACGGCAACGGAATGTATACCAACCCTTCCTCTCAGGATAGTTTCCAAAGTGGGAATGATAATGGTGGGAGAAGGCTTGCGATCTGGGCTCGTGCCTTCGCCCATCTCACCACTAGAAACAAATCAACACAACCAACGACAAATTCAGCTTGGCGCATCTTGGTGCGGCCTGGGCACCAGCTTCACTTCCTCTTGCAGCTGGGACGTGAGGTCCTCGAAGCAGTTTTTCGCGCGTCGCTCCTTCTGCACATCCCATACCTTGGAGTGATGCAATTCGCAGCCCCAGGAACGCCACACTCGCACTGCTTCAGCTAACATGGTAAGTCAAGCCCTGAGCGCTGCTTTTTCTGCACGGTCCCCGGGCCAATTTGAGACGGATTGTGCATGTGGGGTGCAGGGAGCCGCAAAGCCCTGCATGAGCCACTGTGAAAACGGTCCACGGCGCATGAATGTACAAGCGGTAAACAGGGAGTCCCATATGCAATTGCCAGTTGTTCGAACAACTCATCCAATTGAATGGCTGCGTCTGAGAGGCATAAGCTTGACAGGCCTGCACTCGCCTTAGTTAGCCAGCCCGCGTCAATTAGCACTTAAATGACTTGAGTCCAAACATTCGCTGTTTGTCCCTTCCACATTCAACACGTAAATATCATATTATCCCAAGGCCTTAAGGCCAATTCGAGTCAGTCAATCAGTAGTGTCCCATCCCAGCTCCACTCCTTAGGGAAACCCGGGGGCCTGGCAACAGCTGCTATTCGGGTCTTGTAATAGTATTAGGCTGTGGTGTTGGGTGTATAGGGTGGATTCAATCCCTTGACTCAAGCAACCCAACTTGACATGTGAAGGGGGCACATGCAGCCACAAGCGAAATTGACATCCGTATTTGACCGCAAAGGCATGAACACATCCAGGATCCGGACCTGCCTGAGTGAGCCGCCAATCAACTAGCCAGGAGGCCATCCTGAGCCTCCTGGGCCAAGTTGCTGGATCAGCGTCTTAGGGATGTTCATGCTCTCCAAGGCAGACTTGGTTTGAGTCATCCGCTGGTGCCGCTGCAAAGTCCACTGGTTATACATGGACGTCAGGAAGGTCAGGTCTGCAAAGACCTGGCTGCGTTCCAGAACCAAACTGGGGCTGGCACCTTATCTATCTTTTCGGGCCCTTGGCCAATTTGCTGTATGCCCCACAGGCCTTTATGCCCCACAGGCCTCCGGTCCTCAACGATATTCTGGGAGGAGCGATGCGGAGTGTCAGAACCATCACTCAGAACAGTCACTCAGAACTTCCAGGTTTCGACTGGCAGCCTTCCCACTTTCTAGCCAAGCCGCCTTCGCAAAGTACAACTGGCTGAAAATCATCACACCCGATGCAAAAAGCCTTGGCCACAAACAGCGGTGAGCGACTGACGCAGACGCAAACAAGCAAACACATAAACAAAAAAGGTGCATACGAGCTCGCTGAAAGGTTTGATAGACTTGAATTTCCCTGTCCCCTGATATGTCGAGTGGCCGTTCATATGAGTTCTTGGGCGTGATGTCACCGTAGCCGATGGAGGTCACTGTTGTGGAGGTATAATACCATGACAGCCTGAGTGGCAAGCTAGACACTGAAACAGAAGCGGACACAGCCAGAAACGCAGACACTGACACGGAAACCAGCACAGCCACAGGCAGCGACACAGAGACACACAGACACACAGACACAAAGACACACAGACACACAAAACACACAGACACACAGACACAGAAAACACAGACACACAGACACAGAAAACACAGACACAGAAAACGCAGAAAACACAGACACACAGACACACAGACACACAAAACACACAGACACACAGACACACAAACACACAGACACACAGACACACACACACAGACACACAGACACACAGACACAGAGACACACAGACACACAGACACACAGACACAGACACACAGACACAGAAAACACAGACACACAGACACACAGACACACAGACACACAGACACACAGACACACAGACACAGAGACACAGAGACACACAGACACGGAAAACACAGACACAGAGACGCACAGACACACAAAACACAGACACGCAGACACACAGACACACAGACACAGAGACACACAGACACACAGACAAACAGACACAGAAAACACAGACACACAGACACAGAGACACAGAGACACACAAACACACAGACACACAGACACACAGACACAGAGACACACAGACACACAGACACAGAAAACACAGACACACACACACACAGACACAGAGACACACAAAACACACAGACACACAGACACACAGACACAGAGACACACAGACACACAGACACAGACACACACAGACACAGAGACACACAGACACACTGAGACACACAGACACAGAAAACACAGACACACAGACACAGAAAACACAGACACACAGACACAGAGACACACAGACACACAGACAAACAGACACAGAAAACACAGACACACAGACACACAAAACACACAGACACACAGACACAGAGACACACAGACACACAGACACACAGACACAGAGACACAGAGACACACAGACACAGAAAACACAGACACAGAGACACACAGACACACAGACACACAGACACACAGAAAACACAGACACACAGACACACAGACACACAGACACACAGACACACAGACACACAGACACACAGACACAGAGACACAGAGACACACAGACACGGAAAACACAGACACACAGACACACAGACACACAGACACACACACAGACACAGAGACACAGAGACACACAGACACAGAAAACACAGACACAGAAAACACAGACACAGAGACACACAAAACACACCACACAGACACAGAAAACACAGACACACAGACACAGAAAACACAGACACAGAAAACACAGACACAGAAAACACAGACACAGAGACACACAAAACACACAGACACACAGACACACAGACGCAGAGACACACAGACACACAGGGGCACACAGACACAGAAAACGCAGACACGCAGACACACAGAAACACAAAGCACGGAGACACACAGACACACAGACACACAGACACACCAGACACACAGACACACAGACACACAAACACACAGACACACAGACACAGAAAACGCAGAAAACACAGACACACAGACACACAGACACACAAAACACACAGACACAGACACACACAGACACACAGACACAGAGACACAGAGACACACAGACACACAGACACAGAAAACACAGACACACAGACACACAAACACACAGACACAGAGACACAGAGACACAGAGACACACAGCACGGAAAACTGAGAGACACAGACACACAGACACACAGACACAGAAAACACAGACACACAGACACACAGGCACACAGGCACAGAGGCACACAGACACACAGACACACAGACACAGAAAACACAGACACACAGACACACAGACACACAGACACAGAAAACACAGACACAGAGACACACAGACACACAGACACACAGAAAACACAGACACACAGACACACAGGCACACAGACACACAGACACAGAAGACACAAACACACAGAAGCACAGACACACAGACACAGAAAACACAGACACACAGACACACAGACACACAGACACAAAGACACACAGACACACAGACACAGAAAACACAGACACAGAAAACACAGAGACACAGAGACACAGACACACAGACACAGAGACACAGAGACACACAGACACACAGACACGGAAAACACAGACACACAGACACACAGACACACAGACACACAAACACACAAACACACAGACACAGAAAACACAGACACACAGACACACACACACACAGAAAACACAGACACACAGGCACACAGGCACACAGACACAGAAACACACAGACACACAGACACACAGACACACAGACACACAGACACAGAAAACACAGACACACAGGCACACAGGCACACAGACACAGAAACACACAGACACACAGACACACAGACACACACACCAAAAGACATACAATCTCGCCTAGGAACAACTGGGCAAAGTTACACACATTGGCACAGCACCAGCACTGCGCAAAACGTGCATCGCATTGCCAGGGCGAAAGCCCTGGCAAGGCCTAACCAAACATCATAAATGGATGGATGTACGGACTCGGGCTGGGAATGCCAGGAAACTGACAGACAAGACCTTGTAGACCAGGCAACGACATGGCGAGCAACACGCTTGCAGACCCTATCCAGAAGTTCCCACTATGCTCACCGGCGTTCAAACAGCTTGTAGCTACTCCATGGTGGCCCTGCGATACCTCTTGCACAGCCTCAGCGTTTAAGTGATGGGACCATTTTCATCAACACACTGTGCGAGGTCCTCAGTTTTGCAGGAAGTGCACCAAATTTTGCACCCCGTGTGCGTGCCAAAATCAAGCCACCTGGCTGATTCCGTGCTTTCGTGGGTTCCAGGTCAAATGGCGGGGGGGGGCTCGCCCAAGGCACATGTAAAACCTCCGGCAGCTGCTGCCACCTGCGGATGAGCTGGGGGCCCTCTCACTGATAGATGGCAACCCCTAGGATGCTCGCGGGATTGTTTCCATCGAGTTGCTTTTCTTGTTCCAAACTGGCGCCACCAATGAGCACCATCTGTTGTGCTTTCCACAAATACATCAGCTCACGTCGGAGCTCATGTTGTCTCCATGCCAGGCGTCAAAACAATAAACAAGAGTCTCCAGAGTTGCATAGGGTATCATAGGGTCCCTCCGGCCCTCGGGACTAGATTGAGGAACGCGCCGGTCCTTTACATTACTGCGCTTGCTGAACAAGCACGGGCTGGTCCAGGTTCAGTAGGTTGGATGCTGGATGCTTAGTGGTGTCATTGCTCGAAATCCTGCCAGCTAGTTGCTGGCTTAATTTGATGGAACAAATGTTTGGGTGAGCGAGTCGCAACCTACGGAAAGTGCAGCCGTGGACCCGAGGCTTGAATAATGGTGTCGGCTCCATGCGCTGACAACGAACTGCCCGTGATATCCCGTGATTCGTGCCTGGCTCTAGGAGCTCGGGGGCCGCCCAGGCGTCCTCTGAGCCCCTCTGAACTTGCAGGACGGAGGCCAAGCTCAGGAGGCAGGAGCAAAGATGGATCACCACCTGTCCAGTTGGCAATGAATCGTCCCAACAAAACCTGACCCGAATCGTGGAAATCTGCAACTGCATGAACCTTTGTGAGCCGGAGTCGATGCATTGACCGCATGAGGCCCTTTGGCAGCTGCGACATTCTGCCGCTGATGCCATCGCGACCTTTAGACCAAGCCACGAAGAGCCACATCCCCAAGACCAGGCCATCCTTAGCTCACTGCAACGCAGTTGAACCGGGGGGTCACATCATGCACAATGTACAGGCTCCCTCGGTCTCCCTCGCCCACTATGGCCCACAGTGGCCCTGCGGCCGTAGCGTCGATCATAAGGTTGGAGGGCACAAACTCGGAGGGCGGCACCAAGAGCCGAAAGCCCTTCGCCAGGACCAGGAGCCAGGCCTCGAGAGGCACTCAAGGCCAAGGCCTCTCGTTGCGGACCCAACCAAGGCCAAACCTGGGCCAAACCCTGAGACCAAGTCAAAACATGTGGCGCTCAGTTCAGATTGGAAAATGAAAACATAGACTACGCGGTCAGCCGAGCCCACTTGCACCTTTAGTCGTGTTTCGCAAGGGGCGGGCGGCCCCTCTCAGCCGATGAAAAGTGCATCACGAACAAACGTGCCCTTGTGGTTGGATCAGCCAGCAAAAGAAAAAAACCGGGGACGGGGGCGACAGTGGCCAACTCAGAGGAGCTCGCATGAAAAGCCAAATGAGGGCAGGGGGGAGGGCAGGCCTCACCGGTGTGGCCGAATCCGTTGCGAAAAGCCAAGGCTTCCGCAACATGCCGCGTGACAACCCAGCACTTGGCAGCAAGCTGAGAGCGCGGCCCAGTGAATAAAGCTGTCTATCCTGCACATGTGGCCAGAAGCGAGAAGCGTGTGCATGGCCAAACCTGACCCAACGCGTCACACTGCAGGAGCATAGCCCCCCAACTTTGTGGAAAGGATCAGCAGCGTTACCCTCTGAAACTTTTTGGAGCTGGTTTTGTACAGTAGAGGCAGCCCAGACAAGAACCATCTGTTCAGGCTGTTGTGGGAGATCGGCTAGTCCTTGCAGGGCGTTGCCATAAATTGATGATCTCCGCGATCAAGCTCAGAAACCTGAAGCTGTCAGGCTATCAAAGTTGTGAATCCCGGAAGTAACCCCAAAGACGACAGCACCGTTGGAGTATCACCGACATGCACAAAGACTCGGGAAAACTTAGACTTGGATGAAAAAACGCCTGGCTCAACTCCCAACTAGGATATATTTATGACAGTTGCTCTGCGGGTCCATGCAATCGCATGCAAGAGATGACTTGGGCGAGAGCACTGGCCAATACTAACTCTGGACTGCTGTCGCGCGGCACAATAAAATCGAAGACCGGCACCCAAAATCGAAGTGACCGAATAGGACTTGCAGCTTCAGCTTGCGAGTGGTCAGTCGCTGGCCCGCCCCGGGCATGAAGCTGCCTCGGATTGCGCGCGCTGCTAAGGGTGCATGGTGGAAACTCCAAAGCCTGTCCTTCCTGCTCGCCGCTTGAGCGGTACGGACAATGTGGGGCTTCGTGCCGTGCATGCCTGGGAATTTGGCCTAGGCTTCACGTCCGGAAGGACACACACGGCATTGGCTGTCACAGTGATGAGTTCGCTGCAAGGCTACACGCCAAAGCTGAGGTTTGCCCTTCAAATTGTTGGACCCCGAGCCGCCCGCCCTGGGACTCAGCTATCCCATCACCCAGGAATCATGCATGCAAATATGATATGTAGCGTTTCCTGGTCAGAACATACTTCTGAGAGCTGCGTCCGGCCATAAACATCAAAAACCTCCCGTAGCTTGGTCAGGATCGCGCTCCCCTGCAGCTAGAGACAATGCCTTCACGGATGACTTCAGTTGCCACACGCGGCCAATGTGCTGCTTTTACACGCCCTGTTCCTGGGGAGGAAAACTATCGTTGGTCGGGGCACGTTGATTTCCTATATCCTTTGCGGTGCGGCTGGTCCCTGGGAACCAAAAATAGCGTCTGGAGAAACTTGTGCGAAACGGCCATTGCACGAGCACACATAGCTCCCCCTTGACGTTTTGGGAACCCGCATCCGCACACTGAAACGGACAACTGCCAAAAGAATCCCTCTGTGGACAGGTCGCTGCACCAGTGCGGGGTGCAGGTTTTCTGCCTTGTGACTCAGCAGCCTGAACCTGGCGCTCAACCAAAATACCCCTCCCAAATAAATGACAGAGTCGTGTCTGAAGTGACCCCATCCAAATGGTTGGTGTTCTCTAGGTCCTCTAAAACAGGCCCTCCCCTGACAAGGCCCATAAGGTTTACGCGTACATGCACATGCTAAGCGTTGACATCGATGAATCACTACGCCCAAAATGGCAACCAGTATGCATCGTGGTCACACGTTTCTCTCCACACATTGCTTGTTGAAGGGTTGCCTGTAGCGCCGGAAGCCTGCAGCAATACATGCCAACCCAGCTTGTGCTGAATTGGCAGGTTGGATCTTGAGAGGTGGCCCTCACAATGGCTTTGGGCAGCAACCAAATCTTCAATGGCGTAATCCCGCAAACCACTACCCAGTCATCATTAAGGTACACCCAGTGTCCTTTAGCGCAGCCACTAACAAATAAAGGACAATACATTCATCCGCGAACAGCTATTGCAGATCCTTGAATAGCGGGCAGCTTTCTTTTGATTCCTCGCTCATGTTGCCAGAGGATCAAAAACGAGGAACCTTAATCGGAAAGAATTGTGGATTGCAACACAACTCGCAAGGGATGCTGATGAAAGCTGAATGTGTTGTCTATTCGTACCTTCCTCCTGTATTGTAACCTGTTTACTTCTTCGAGTCACTTGAGGGCTCCTGGGCAGTGAGAAATGATGTTTCCAAGGGACTAAAATTCCATTTGATTCAATGAATAACCGAATAACCCGTCTTCGGAGTTGATGTTTCCCGCATCCCGCCTGAAGGACCTCGCCTTCCAGAGTGCCGGCCACGGATTAAGTGGTGAACTGATGAAATGGATCACTGCAAAGACCAGGTAGGCACTGGTGCATACCTCGCAAATTTCAAGGGCAATCCCTCGGCTGAAGCAAGGAGCCTGCAGGGGCATTCTGCCAATCTACATAATGCATTTGCAGGCAAGTTCCGCTGACATGGGTCCCGAGAATGCAGCTCTTGGAAAAGAGGGTGTCGTAGGGCGCCCTCCGGCTTAAAACGGTGCATTTGGGGAGCAGTCGAACACCAGAGTGGGCGACATGCAAATCCACACCAGCAGGGCATGGGCTTTAAACATCTAGATTAAAGGATATTTGATGGGATGCTCTGCAGGATGCTTCTTCTTGGAGCACCCGGGATTTACAGATTTACTTTACATGAAAGCCAGATTCACCTGGCCAAGGCCCGCATTCCTAACAAACTTCCAAATGCTGCAGGACACCAGATGGAAGATCTTCACGCAAAGGATGAAGAGCCGCTCACCATCCGCGCACGTGGACTCGAAGGCAAGCATAAAGGGCCCCACCAGCAAGCCTACGACGCAAGGCTTCGGAGTTGTGCCGAATCCTTGCACCACCAGGGTAAAAGCTTTGTCTCCTGGATCCTCGCACCCTTTTGCTGCAATTACAGCCCTAAGAGACTTTAGCGCTTTTCAAGGGCAGCGGACATGGTTTGGTTTCTCTGGATCTTGTGCTCAGGTATGCTGCAAGCTGATGTTTTCAGGACGCTTTTGCGAACATGCTGCAAGCTTAAGTGAAGGAGCTCGTTCCGAGCGGTCAGTTCTCATTCACACCTGTAAGATGTTGTGCAGTCATATGATCACCCAACATGGTCTGAAATTGACCGTGCCGCATCCGCCACACAAAATGCAAACTTAGTGTCTGATCACTTGGCCCGCTGGCGCGTTGTTCTACACAGCCCTAAGGGGGTACAACTGTCGCGCTCAA